GTGCACACGAAATGCATGACGGTGTCCATGGGGGCAGAGGGATGCGGGGGGGGGGGGGGGGGAAAGAAAGAAGGACGCCAGCACGTACGCAATCTCCACAAAGTACACCCGGTAGCCGGCGGCCGGCAGGCGCGCCTCGAAGGCCAGCTCGTACGGCAGACGCCCAAGGGATGGCTCGTCGAAGAGGGCCGGGATGACCTGGCTCGGGACCAGAGCCCCATCAGCATCACGCACCACGACATCCGACCGATCGAGGGGGAGGGTGTGCACCGTGTGCCGGGGCCAGGCCAGGCTATTGGCGATGACCACAGGCACCACTCCGCCCGGGGCCAAGCGGTCCAGGCGCCCGGCCAGATCCAAATCCATGAGCTGGGCAGGGGTGGCATCGCCGCCCAGCAGGACGGCCAGCGTGTTGGCGAACACCCGGCGGGTGGAGGGCTCGGCCTCGGCGAAGGCCTGCACATAGTCCTCCATGACGTAGGCCTTGGAGGTGCCGGTCACGGCATCGTGGTGCTGGGCCACAGCATGGGCCTGGCGCAGGGGAGACACATGGGTCGAGGGGACCTGGTGCTGGAAGCGGGCCGGGCCGACCTGGGCCGCGGCCGCCTGCGACAGCATATCCACGGCGCGCATCTCGCCCTCGGTGGTCCGGACCAGGCGCTTGAACTGCGGGTACGAGGTGAAGTACCCGGTCCACCAGGAGAGCTCATTATCGGCATAGGGATAGAAGTCCCCGGTGAAGAGGGGCCAAGTGACGGCCGTCTCGCGGGCCAGCGCCTCAAAGTAGTCCGACAGGGTGGAGTAGCGGATCCGCACGCCGAGCTGCTCGCTGAGGTGCACACCCGACGGCGGGGGGAGATGCGAAGGGGGGAGGGGCGAGTCAGGGATGGATCATTTTTTTTCCCCCTCCCGGAGGCATGGAGCCAGGCACAGGCGAAAGGTGGCCGACCCACAGTGAGGGTGGTCGTACGAGTTGGCATTGATGTAGTCAATCAACAAGTCCCAGCTGTCAAACTGGGCGTGGGCATTCTGGTAGCGGAAGTCATCGCCAGCCGGGATGAGGAGGTGCTGGGTGCGATAGCCGGCAGCGCGGCGGGCAAATTCCCGGACCAGGGTGCTTTTTGGTGGTGGTGGTGGTGGTGGTGGTGTGAGCAGCTGGCGGGCGGGGAGGGGGAGGGGGGGGGGGAGGAGGGAGCAGCAGGGGTGCCAGGGGCCTGGAGGGGGCGTACTTGGCCTTGGAGGCGACATTGTGCGGCGTGATGGGCTGGTCGCGCTCGAAGTCGAAGCCAGACGGCGAGGAGTAGTGGTCACTCAGGACGTGAGTGAAGAGCTCGACCTCGGCGCCGAGGGACTTGGATCCGCTGTGTTGGCCAAGCACCGGCGGGGGGCGGATGGGGGAGACCGTGAGTGGAGGAGTGGATGTTTTGGGCCTTGCTTTTTTCTTTTTGCCCATCAACGGGTCTCACAGCACGAGGGGGAGAGACCCGGGCATTCTCACGAGGAGGAGAGGGGAAACATACCGCCAGACGAACTCCATGTGCTGGGTGGCCTTGAAGAGGTCCTTGTCGGAGTAGGTGATGCGATTGATGACGCCGCCCTTGAAGCCCATCTTGGCAAAGAGGGTCGGGTAGACGGCCGACAGGCCGAAGGGGTCTGTGTGCAGTGCCAAAAGGAATGACGTGTGAGCAGCCACAGGCGGGCCGTGCTTGGGGAGCACCCCGGAGGAGGGAGGGGGGGGGGGCGCACCGATGTTCCAGCTGGTGACGGGCACCACGCCCAGGGTCTCGTAGGGCCACTGCAGGCCCTCGGTCATCTGGTCGATGTTGGCCGAGTAGGTGGGGTTGGCATTGTCGCTCATGACCCACCCAGCCAGGATGAACTCCATCTGTTGCAAGAGGGGGGGGGAGCGAGAAGGAGTTGGAGGAAGAGGCGGGAGGAAGAGGCGGGAGGAAGAGGCGGGAGGAAGAGGCGGGAGGAAGAGGCGGGAGGAGGGCGTGTTAGGGAAGGGTGGCAGGTGTGAAAAAGTTGACTTCGGAGGTCTGTCTGCGGGACTTGCCAAGCGTCTGCCGAGCGTGCGTATGTATGTGTGTCGGGGGGGGGGCGGGGGGGGAGAGAGGAACAGCGACGTACTTGACCATTAGCCACGAAGGAGTGAACCAACTTGCGCTGGGCATCGGTCGCCTCGCGGTACCACCGGCTGAAGAAGGCCATTTCCACGACGATGAACTTACGGGAGGGATTGCGCGACAGCGCATCGACCGTGGTGTCGTAGATCTTCTTGACTTGCTACAAATGGCGTGTGTGTGTGTGTGTGTGTGTGTGTGTGTGTGTGTGTGCATGGTCAGCAGATGGGTCGTGAGGGGGAGGGGGGGGGGGTAGAGGCGGGGCCAGCAACAGGCAGGGATCTTGTCCAGAAGGAAGGAGGGATGGAGTCCGGGACGTGGCACTGGCTGCCAGCATGGAGGCACAGGCGAAGCGGGAAGGAAAGCATGCATACGTGCACCTCTGCGCGCGATGGAGACGAACCTGGACATAGTACTCGTCGGCGGTCATGCGCCAGCCGACATCATCGTGGCTGTGCGGGACAACCCACACCTCGAGCGGGACGCGCTCGCCCGAGGAGAGGACCTTACCAACCGGGCCGGAGAGGGGGCCATCCTGGTGGACGACCCGCGCGGAGGAGCTCAGCAGGGAAGATTGCGGCACGTACAGAGCGCCCAGGGCCCGAGGCAGGGGAGCCAGCAGGAGGCCGGCCACCCCGAGCAGTGCCAGGAGCAGCACCAGCGGGAAGCGAGCGGTCATGCTGAGCAGGAGGGCGAGGAGGAAGGGCAGGGGATGAGCGTGTTTTCTTTTCTATCGAATGGGGGCCTCCCGGGGGGAGGAGCGGAAGGATGCGCTTCGAAGGCGGACTGGGGGGGAGGGGGGGCGGGGACGGGATGGTGTGCGACCAAGGGGATGGGAGGCGGGGGGGGGGGGGGGGAGAGGGGCGATCTCTGTCCAGTGGTTGGCCCGGGCTCAAGGTTGCTGGCCCAAGAGGGCCGTGATGCGGGGGGAGGGGGCGCCGCTTGGCCGCGATCTCCCCCCGCTCCAAGCCGCCCGTACGTCCACACATGTATGTATGTGGGTGGTGGGCTGAGAGGCCGAGGGGCAGGCCCGGGGCAGGCAGGCCGCAGACCACGACGCCTGCGGCCCGAGTCCGGGGGGGGGGGGGGGGGGGGGGGGGGGTGCACACAAAAACAACACCAGTCTACCGACGCTCACGTTCCGACGGCAGCGGCTGTGTGGTGCACCCGACCTCGGGAGCTCCCCCCTCTGCCTGGCGGAGCGCGGGGGCGTCAACAGTCTGGCGTGCCCCCGCCCCCCTCCCCACCTGGGCCCGGCATAGGAGAAGACTCGCTTTTTGGCCCTCGGCTCGTCCCCCCTGCCAGGGAGGAGGAGGGCGGCGCGTCGGAGTTTTTCAAAAGCCCCATGGATTGGGAGTCGGCCCTGTAGCCTGCTGATGGTGGAGTGTGGGGTTTCTGCTCATGGGGGGGGGGGGGGGGGGGGGGGGGGGGGGGGGCCGGGGGTGGGGGGGGGGGGGGGGGGGGCGGCGCGGACTGCCCCTGGCGATCGCTCGAGAGACAGAGAGAGAGACGGAGAGGGAGAGACTTGGGCGCTGATACGGGGGCGTTCCCGACCGCCCCGTGCCCTTCATCCCGCTGGAAAGTCGTACGGTCTCGGGCTGGCTGGGCCCCGGCCCCACCGGGGCCGCAGTCGAAAATGAACATTTTCACCCGTGTCACATGACTCTAGTCAAAAATGTCAGTCCGGCTTTGCGGGCCCAGGCCCGCCCTCGCCCGGTGCTTAGTTCCTCTCTCTCCCCAAGCAAGTGTACCTGCTCTCCTCCGTCAAAAAAGTGGGATGTCTCTTGGCGGCTGACTGTCCTGTCCAGGCCGCGCCGGGTGTGTCTCGTGAGCCTCGCGGCCGATCTCCTTGCCGGGCTCCCTGGCTCTTTCTCTCTCTCTCTCTCTCGATGTCCCATAGTATTGGTCTGGCCGTCTCTTTTGCCCTTCCAGGGCGGGTGTTTTCCCCCGGCCCCTGGGCGTGCATTGGCGCGAGGGGGTCTGCCAGGGTACTTGCGCATTTGCGCCCAACACCTTCAATGTGGCCGGGACGTTCTTCCGCCAGAAGAAGAAACGCGCGGGGTGCAGGGGGAGGGAGGGGGGTGAGACCGTGGGTGGAGGATGCGCCGACCGGCGATCCGCTGGTTGTGGCTCCCCGCCGCACCCCCCCCCCCCCAACCGCTCCCCGGACGGGGGAGGAGGGGGGAGAGCCGATCGGTCTTGCCTCCAGCGATGTCTGTGGCACGCCTCGGCCCTTCGCTTGGCACGAGATTCCGCCATTGCAAGGAGCCGCACCCGGGCGTGCCAATCGGGCCAACTGAACAGCCGGCGCATCGACGAGCCATGCTTAGCCTGCCGACCAGCCGCCTCCATCCTTCCTGTCCCTCCTCCCCCCCCCGCCCCCCGCCGTTTCTTTCTCTCAGCCCTTCCGCCATTGGTCTGGTCCATCGTTGCCCCGTTGCGCGCCATGTCCTACACGAGTCAGGTTGTCGCCCTTCTTCCGTGTATCCTTGTTCCTTTG